CAATATTTCTTTTTTATTTTATTTTATTTATTTTATTGATTATGGTATCACATAATTGTCCTCATCCCCCCATTCCTATCCCAAACTCCTTCCCACATATGCCTCCACCCCTCCACCCGCCCTGTTGTCCATGGCCACTGGCTAGGCCCATATGCATGCACACAAGTTCTTTGGCTGATTTCTGCCCTTTACCCCCACTCTCCCCTACTTTCCCTCTGAGGTTTGAGATCACATCAATATTCATTTCTTGCCCTCTCCCATTCTCTCTCTGTAAAAAACAATAAAATATATTTTTCATAAAAGGAAGTAAATTACAACATGGATGAACCTCAAGGCATTGTGTTAAGTGAAATAAGCAGCTAGTCGCGCGCGCGCGCGCGCACACACACACACACACACACACACAAATATACTGGCAATTCACTTTCATGAGGTATCTGAAGTAGTTAAATTCACAGAAACAGAAAGTAGGATGGATATTGCCGGGGGGTGGGGTAGGGAGAAACAGGGGCTAGTTTAATGGATGTAGAATTTCAGGTTTGCAAGATGAAAAGTTCTGAAGATTGGTTGCACAATAATGTGACTATGCCTCACATGGTTAAACTGTATGGTTAACATGGTAACTTTTATATCATGTATATTTTACCACAATAAAATAAAACACACCAGGAAGTGATAGGGATGAGCACATGGTGGGTGCTTGACTTCGTGACAGAGTCATGGTATTTATTGAATGGAGATGAGAGAAAGCGATGCCAACAGATGGCCACAGACAACAGAGTGAACGTGAGAATGGACACCTTTCCCAGGAAAGCCTTCCAAGCAGAAGCAATTAGTCACAGTTACCTTGTGGTGACAAACCAGTTCTTTCTTATTCTCACCTCTAAACTAAAAAAAAAAAATTAAAATTAAAATTATTTTTTATTTCATCTGATAACAGCATGGCACCAAATCCAGCCTGAACCAGAATGTTCCATTGGTTGCAGGGCTGCAAGTTCCCAGATCATAGAACTTGAGATCTGAGCAGCTGGTGAGGTTTGAGGTGTATATCCTACGTAATAAGAATTTTGTGAATATGTAAGACATTTTGTTTTTTAATGTTTTAAATATATTAATTTTATTGATTTCAGAGAGGAAGGGAGAGGGAAATAGAAACATCAATGATGAGAATCATTGATCGGCTGCCTCTTGCACGCCCCCCTCCCCCATTGAGGATTAAGCCTGCAACTGGTTTATAGGTTGACGCTCAACCATTAAGCCACTCGGGCCGGGCTGTATGTATAAGACATTCAAAATAATGACTGCAAAAGCCACAGCTGGAAAGAGGCGAATCCAAGGCCTGACCTTTTACCTTCAGAACCCGCCCCTCCCCCACCTTCCATTCTTCCACTCCTCCCCAAAGCTGCTAGTGAACAAGGTCACTCTGCTCTTCGAGAGCCAAATTTCTCCTTGTGGTCAGTGACCCTTGAGGCCCATCAGCCATAAGGTAAGAGGGCAGGTGAGTCTGCTCTCAGCAGGTCTCTTAGCCCTGAGGCAGGTGTCAGATCCTCCAGGGAAAGTGAGGCAGGAGCCCCCAAGGTACCACCAGCTGGCTCTGCTACTGCCTGGGTCTCTCCTGGAGGCGGGGCCCTGAAGTCCAGCCTTTGAGCAGCCCTGTCTCCTCCAACTTTCCCACCTGATTGCTGACCGCCCAGTCTCATGTCTAACCCAGCAGGATGGAGAGGGGAGCTCATGAATGGAAGCCCAAGTCTAGAGAAGGGAAGGGGAGAAGGGATGGGCAGAGCCAGGAACCGAACCTGGAACATTACATCATACCTATCCACACTTGCTAGGAAGTCTGAATAACCAGTCTCTTCCAGTTGCTTTGGATGTCTGGGAGTGGATCTGTTTCTATATGTCAAGAACACTGTATCCTCTCCCAAGGCCTGGCAAAGGGCTTTCCTTCACCCCATCCCCAGGGATAAGAGAAGACAGCAGTGTCTCTCCCCTCCACCCCCAACCCCCGCCTCCCCTCCTCCATCAAACCTGCAGGGTTTCTCGCTTTGGGGAGCCCTTGCAGTGGCTCAGGGGCCTGAACAGCGCCATCACAGAAGCATAAGGTTCCCCAGGGGCTGCTGGCCTTTATCTGAGGGCTCCGGAGCAGCTCCCTCACCTGGTGGGTTTGAATAACTACCTTCCAGGTATACCAGATCCGACACACCCAGAGACTTGAGCAAGTTTCTGTTCCATCAATGGGGGGGGGGGGGGGGCGCTCCAAATTTCACGTGGTTGGTACCTGAGCACTCACAGGCTGCCCAGGTCTGTGGAGGTGGGTGGGATAGGATGGTGGGGGGCAAGAATCACATCCTTCAGAGCCAAGTACAGACAGTGGACCCTTCCCAGGGGCAGAACCCCGTGTTTTACAGGTCTCGTGTTTCATCCATTAACATATCATTGGGGAAAAGCAGATGACCACGGAACTGTCATCCAAACTGGAACATGTAGGATGGCAAGCGAGGGGAGACACAGCACAAACCAAGACAGTCCCAGCACAGACTGCCTCTCGCATCAGGAAGTAAACCACATGGGAGAAGCCAGTCATCACTATTTCTTGCTCTTCCTTACATGCTTACAAAACCAAAGCGCGATCTGTGCTCAAATCAGAACACCCAGCTGATAGCCCTTGTTGCATGGGGACATCCAGGACCTCAGGCGGGAACATATTTCTCCGTTTAATCATTTAGAAGCCACTCCTAGGAGGTGCCGCAGCAGGAGTACTTCCTCGTAAGCAGAGAAACTTGGGTGCGGGTTCCAGGACAAACCAGCGTTCCTGTAATCCCACACTTGGCCTGCAGGTGGCAACATCTGTTCAGCAATGACCAACCACAAGCGATAGTGCAGGAAACATTTAATAGGCCAAGGAATAAAGGGTTTTGTTAAAAAAAAAAAAATCAAATCAATATATTTCCAGTAATCAATTCCCACCTTTGCATGTTTTCATATAGTATTTTGCTCTTTTTCTATTTACAGTGCTAGGTACATAGTGACTTTTTAACAAATAAATACTTACAAACTGACCAGTTGAAGAGAACCCAGATTTGCCTGAGGCATGGATAAGTACAGGATGAGGCAGAAGGAAAGAAACTAGGGATTGCTGAATGTGCATGGAAAATCATTTTCCTTTCTGGTTAATAATTGCCCGGAGGGACGGGGGCGTGGAGGGAGAATGCATTTGAAAGTTTCCAAAAGATCTTTCTCTAAGAGCAAACCATTATTAACCAAATTCTTTGAAAACAAAGAAACAAAAAAATAAAACAGTAATCTTGCTTTTATCCATCTTCCCCCTCATTTCAAAGTCTGTCCCATGTACATATTAGATACATTATTTTCGGGTGTGTTTAAAGGTTTTACATTTAGACTCCTATTTATTTAAATATATTTTATTTTATTGATTTTTTTCACAGAGAGGAAGGGTGAGAGATAAGTGAGCTAGAAACATCAATGAGAGAGACACATTGACCAGCTGCCTCCTGCACACCCTCCACCAGGGATGTGCCCACAACCAATGTACATGCCCTTGACCGGAATCAAACCCGGGACCCTTCCGTCAGCAGGCCGACGCTCTATCCACTGAGCCAAACCAGTTTCGGCTAGACTCCGATTTATTTAGATGATTCTGAAGCCTCCCCTTCTGCCCCCACCTAGACTCTGAAGAGATTGGCAGGAGCAATCCAAGTCCACCCGCCCCTGAGGAGGGACCACTGAGATAAGCTTCACCAGCAGGTGTGAGCACAGAGCAGTGCACACGAGTCAGCAGCACTCCTCTTCCCCAGGGACCTGCGCCTCACGGGACGTACCCTGCAGCCACCTCACCTGTCTGTCTCTGAGACCGGGCTCCTCACTCGGTTTTCCAAGCAGCAGAGAATCAGCACCTTTCATACTGAGCCCCCTGATCCCAGAGTGACCCTTTCTGGAGAGACCAACAGACTCGGGAAGCTTTGGAGGGTGGCCCAGAGGGAGAAGAGCTGGGTAGGCTGTCCATGGGTGAGGGACACGCACCGCCCTCAGCCTCACGGAGGGTGGTGGTTTCCCACAAAAGCTGCGATGGATGTCATCAGGGCCCCCCATGATGGCACGGGGCCAACCAATGGCTACTGGCCATTTCACCGGCCCAGGCCCCCACCTTCCAGAGTTCATGGTTGCACCCCTTCACTGGGTAAAGCCTCTGCAGGGCGAGGTGGGAGTAAGGCCACCAAAGCAGGGGCAGCTGGGAGGGAGCGCTGTGACCCCACAGGCCAGCAGGGCCGCCAGGGGCGCCTTCACCGGCTCCCCGACTGCCCTGTGTCCTCTGGGAGAGCTGAGTGTCCCGGCTGCCCGGCTCCCAGCCGGCCCAGAGCCCTACATACCTAAGCAGGCGGGATGAAGGGGGCAGGAGAGGGCTCCCTCACTCCCACAGGTCTGAGGCTGTAGAGGGGTGAGCTCACTGCGGAGGGGAGTGAGTGAGTGATCCCACAGCCAGGGCCCAGCCTCGGGGAAAGTGGTGCTGTGGGGTGGGGGGTGCCGTGTACCCAGACCTGCTGTGCTAGGTCTGCTTTTCTGCCTCACAATGTGGTCAGAGTGAGGGCCCATGACGGAGGGATGTCCATGGGTCGCTGAAGCAAAGAGAGGGCTAGGGAGCCCCCCGGGGAAGCAAAGATCAAGGTGGGGAGGGGAAGCCTTCACACACAGGACCGGCAGGTGGCAGAGTCACAGAGAGGTAGACCTCACGCCCATGTGCAGCCAGGCCTCTTCCTGGCCTCACCCTGGCAGCCGGGCGGCCCCCAGCGGGGCCTGCCTGGGCCTGGCACAGACCCGAGGGCAGGGCTTGGGTAGGGGTGGTAAGGGAGGTGGCATCCCTGTCCTTTGAGGGTGAGGCGCGGGCCCAGAGGAGAGCTGAGAGAAGCCAGGGGGGTCAGCTCCCCCAGCACGTCTTCCCAGCCCCCCGGAAAGACTTGGGAGGCAGGGAGGGTGGGGGGAAGACATCACTTTCCACCCCGGGGAGGAGCGAGCGCTGAGGGCGGTCCGGGCTGGGTCACCATGATGTGGTAGATGGATTCCCGGAAGCGCTGGTCTCGGGTCAGCCGCTTGGCCACCTCCTTCAGCTCCTCTATGTTGTTGGCTTCCAGTTGGGAGGTCATGAAGGACTGGGACGGCTTCACTGGGGAGAGGACGCCCGGCCACTGGTGACGTCCTCCCTCCACAAGGCGCGGCCCTGCCCCCATCCTAGCCCACTCCCTCCCTCCCTCCCTCCCTCCCTCACCTGCTGCTGAGGTTCCAGCCACACACACACACACACACACACACACACACACACACCCGCCCACAGACTCCCCTAACCCTGGGAAAAGCCCAAGGCTGGCAGGGGTGGGGGAGAGACAGGTTCAAGGCCACACTGTCCGGCCTCAGAGCTGGGCCAGCCCTCCCACCTGCCCTCTGCCTCCGTGTCCCTGCGGCCTGTGCCCACCCCATCCCACGGGCACGCGGACGCCCACACTCACTGTCATTCCAGGTGCTGGACCGGCGCCGGTGGAAACGGCAGCTCTTGATGCGGCGGGTGGCCGCCTTGTGGATGTACACGGAGTTCTTCATGATGACCGGCATCTTGGCCTCCAGCTCGGCGTTCCGGATGCACTCCTCGAAGAACCCTGCACCCACGGTCAGCCCAAGTTCGCCGCGTTTCCCTCCGGACGGACAGACGGCCTGCCCCGCCCCGCCCCGCCCAGGACCCAGGTGCCAGGAAATGAGAAACACTCAAGAGCCCATCCTCTGGGAGACCAGAGCCACCTGCTGGACGGGCCAGAACTGCAGGCTTTCTCCCCTGCCCCTCTCCCCAGGTCCATCAGCTAAAAGGAAGCAGCATCAAGAAGACGCTGGCGGACGGGAATCTGGAGACACGCCACCAATATCTAGAACATCCCGTGCACACCAGGCCCTGCGGGGGGCACGAGCCCGGGGCCAGGCTCCGCAGGCCGAGGGGCCGGGCCCGGGGCAGAGCTTACTCTTCAGATGGCTCACGTCAGCCCGCATCCGCTCCTCCTTCTCCTTGTTCCGCACCTTGGAGTTGAGCCCTTGTTCCAGGCTCCTCAAGGCCGCCTCGGCCTCCCGCAGGCGCTTCTCCAGGTCCATGCGGACCTTCACCTCAGCCTGAAGGGAGAGAGAAGGAGGGACATGGGTTTTTTGGGGGGCGGGGAGCAGCTGCCATCTCCCCTGGCGGCCTTGCTTGATCATCCCTGACTCGCATGGGCTTTCTCGCCTTTGGACATGGATGGACGTTACCACCTCCTGCCTCCTGTCGGACACCCGTGACCAGGCGGCCTGGACTCGACCCCACACCCAGCAATGACGCCCCGAAGTGGCAGGCCCGCTGCGTCCCCCCAGGGCGGCTCTATCCCTGCCCCTGGCTGGTCAGGCGGGCAGAGATAATTCAGGCAGGGGTGTGAGGGGAGGCACCTTGAGCTCCTGCTCGGCCTGCTGCTTCTGTGCGGTGAGCTCCTGCAGCGAGTTCTGCAGCGCCTGGGACTGGCTGGAGTAGAACTCCCGCTCCTCCTCCAGGGCCCGCGAGCGCTCCTCGTTCTCCTTCATCCTGCCCGGGCCGGCACTGTCAGGGCCCGCTCACCCAAGGGGGTTCCCCTGGGAGGACAGCCCCTCGGAGAGAGCTGGCTGGGGAAATCTGAGGCCCAGGCTTCAGGAGCCCCAAACATTCTGGGTCCAGTCACCCAGGTGATGAGGGAGCAGTGTGGTCGGTGGAGGGGTGCCTGTGTTACAGTCAGAAAGCATGAGCCCTGCTGAAACCGGTTTGGCTCAGTGGATAGAGCATCGGCCTGTGGACGGAAAGGTCCCAAGTTCGATTCCGGTCAAGGGCATGTAACTCCCCAGTAGGAGGTGTGCAGGAGGCAGCTGATTGATGTTTCTTTATCATCGATGTTTCTAACTCTCTATCCTTCTCTCTTCCTCTCTGTAAGAAAAACAATAAAATATATTAAAAAAAAAAAAAAAAAAAAAGAAGAAAAAAGAAAGCATGAGCCTTGGGTCCAGGTCTTGCTGGTTCTGTGACCTCAGAAAAGTCCTATAACTTTCCAAGGCTCAGAACTGCAAAAGGGATCCTCACCTGTAAAAGGGACCTAAGAGGACCTTCCCAGCAGCCCACAGAGCACTGTTATGCGGGCCTAGTGACTGTCTGTCTAGCTCACACCTCTGCAAGAGATAATGATCCAGTCAGTTCTGGGTAGTGAAGGTTCTCTTCCCATTTTCCTGGAGGGAAAACTGAGTCCTGGGCAGACGGAAGTGAAGCCACCTATCTGGGCAATGGCAACTAGAACCCAAACATCCCGGCATCCAGTTCAAGGACATTACCGATCCCCAAAGCCCAACGTGGACCCATGGGTCCCGGGCTCCTCACCGCTTCTCTGCCAGGAGCTTCTCTTCCAGGAGCTGCTGCATCTTCCCCTCGATCTGCCTCAGGTTACTATGGAGACCCCCACTGGGAGAGGGCTGCTCGCTCGGATTGGCCAGTGTCTGCAGTTGGTTCTCATTCTCCTCCAGCATTTCCAGGGTTTTCTTCTTCTCTATGGAGAGCTCCTGGCATGGAGGGATAGAAGGAGGGAGAGAAGGAAGAGAAAGAGCCTAATTTGGGTTCCCCACCGTGGTTTCCCTCACCTGCCTTCTGATTCCAGGGAGCGATGCCCCGCACTCTCAGCCCTGTATGAGGGACACCTGGGATGTCTCCTTTCCTCCCTTGAGGTAAAAGGCCAACCAAGACCTCCTTCCTCACAGCGAGGCGAGGTTACCCCTCCATCGAGGGAGTCAGAGAGGAGCCCAGTGAGGCATCCAGGGGAGGTGGCCCTACTATAACCAGGAGACACCAACACCCCAGGGCACCAGGACCCTCTGGGGTTCTCCTTCCTCCAGCGGCAAGTGAAGGAATGTGTTGGGGTCACGTGAAAACACCCAACAGGACCAGACTAAGGGCTGGTTTGTGTTCTCCCCATTTATCAGACTGAGGTCTCGCACATCCCAGAAATTCTGGAGTTGAAACCATTCAAGGGAACCACCTCCTGTGATATGAAATGGAGAAAGGTAAACAAATAAAGGCCCCTCAAAACACCCCCCCCCCCCCCCAGTCAGTGGAGACAGAAGAGAAACCCTTGCAGTCTGCCAGGCAGTTCCTTTAATCAGCAAATGTGAAGATCCCCCTGCCGTGCCAAGCTCACGTTAAGTGCTGGGCTTGGAAAGACCTTAAGACACAGCCCAGTGAAGCTCACAGTTTAAGGAAACACATAGTTCAGTGCCATAAGGAAGTGCTGCGAGAGCCCAGAACTCAGAGCAAATTCCTGCTACGCAGTGTCAGGGAAGCTTGGCCAACGTGAGGTCCAAGCTGAGCCTTAGAAGGATGAAGGAGTTCTCTGGGCAAAAAAGAGGTGGAAGGACATTGTGTAGAAGGGTCCACATGGGCAAAGGTGTGGAGGATGAGGGCGCATGGTTTCCGGGGAGCATGTGGAATAGGGGGTTGGTGTCTGCTCTGGGTGTGGAAGGGCAGCAGAGGGCACAGTGGAGAAGAGGCTGGGGCCAGAGTTGGCACTTGCATGTCATCCTGGAGAGTCGGCTCTTTGCCCTTGATGCATGCCACCGCTCTCCACCCCCCCAGTTTCTGCGGTATCAAATGGAGGTGACCTGGCAGCTGATGTCCCTTCCTGCTCAATTTCACCCTGGATCAGCTAAATGAATGAACCACAAGGAGGAAGTGGTGGGTAGCCCCACCTCCCATTCTAATCAATCCTCCACCTATATAAAAACATAAGCACTGAAGAAGGTGGGTTTCCGAGGCCATGGTCATAGCAAGGGCAAACTCAAGTGTCTGCTTTGGGCCTCACAAGTCGGCTAGAGTTCCCAAAGGTCTACAGAGAAAAGTCCCTTAGGTCAGTGCCCCTTTGCGCCCTGTTACCCTTGCAGATGGCTCGTAACTGGGGAAACAATTAGAAAAAACGGTATCACGTGGCCCAACCAACCAGCCCGCCAGCAGCCCCTCACCTCCAGCGTCTGCTGCAAGGACTCTGTGAAGTGCCTCAGCTCCTTCTTCTCTTGCTCCACGCCCCTGAGGCATCTTGCAGTCAGTTCTAGCTCCCTGTGGGGACAGAGGGCATGCGTATGGCAGTGCCCATCCCTCCTAATCCCCTTTGTACCTAGAAGAGCTTATTTCACCTCCCCAAAAGGCTCAGTGGGGTCCTTGGAAGGCCAGCCGCTCCGCATGGCTGGGTCCTGACAGCAGATGGAGGGACCCAGGGCTGAAAGGAGGAGATCCTAGCCAAGTGGGGTTGAAGTCACGTGCTCTCGATACTCATGCATTTGTCAGCAGGATAAACCCAGGTGAAGGGAGGCACCCACAGGCAGAGAAGCACTGGGGGAACAGAGGGGGTCTCAACTCATCGTCCATGGACAGTTCCTGCTGGAACCCACACTCACTGACATGGGACATGGCAAACTCCTTGCTGCTTTCGTAATAGCCTGGACCCCCTCGGGCCACACCTGGTTTCCCCTCCTCCTGCTTGGAATGCCTTCCCCTTTCCCATGCCCAATTTTTTCAAATCCATCTTCAAGGCCCAGCTCAGTCCCATCTCTGTTCAAGCCCATACGGATGATGCATATATCTGAATCCCTGGAACACAGGGCTGCCCCATGTTATATCTTATTGTGTTCATGTTTCCTGGGTGTTAGTCTGGTTTTCCCCACCAGATCTTCAGAGAGAGGACTAGTCTGCTGTTCCAGGGTTTGGCACAATTCTGAAAGTGAGCAGGTGTTTGGCTATTTACTTGGTAAGATTCTCGGAGCTTCTCCCTCCCTCAATTATATGTCAAATGACTTCCTTTGTGAGATTGTTGCAAGAGAAGTCTTTCTGGGCTATCACTAATGATCGATAGTGATGAGGGTAATCATCCCACCATCACCATCCCCAGAGCAGGGTCTCCACATTCCTGGGCAGGCTGCATCCGAATGACCTGCGAGGCTTTTAAAAAATATAAATACCAAGGCTCTACTTTTAGGAGACTCTAATTCTGCTAAATGATTATAATGTGCAACTGGTTTGTACACCATACACAGGACTAAAGACCCCAAGGGACACCACTGGCCAGAAGGTGAAGGGATTGTGCGAGAGAGACAGGGAATGTTGGGCATCGTGGCTAATGGCACCTCCAGACCAGCTTGCCCTGTCTGCCCTGGGAAAGGAAGGGTTGACAGCAGCAGGAGGGCTTGTTGCTTAGGGGAGGCCTGTCTGCACCCGCCCTTGCCTCATGCCTCAGTGGGCAGACGTGGCCTATTCGTGTGGGAACTACAGCTTTTCCCGGGCACACCCCTAGGTCTGGAGCATTGGGAAGAAAGACCAAACCAAGGAGAGAGGACCTCCTGGACGGGGGCCTCCCCAGGGCTGGCCAGCAGCGTTGTTCCCAACGCCATACTAGCCCGGATGCACCGCCCTCCCGCTCCCCTCAGGGGCACCACCGCCACCTCTTGATCTGCTCCTGCTCCATTCTCAGCTCCTGCACCACCTCCTCAAACTGCTGCTTCTCAGCCTCCAGCACCTGGTTAAGGCGCTCGAGCTCCTGAAGAGAATGGAGAGAAGCAAGAATCAGGGGCAGCACAGGGAACCCCCACTCTAACCCAGGGGCCCCTCTGGCATTCAGCACGGCCTGGGGCATGCGCTGGACCAACCTTGAAATTGAGTCCTGCTGAGCCCTGGTCCCCTTAATGACACAGTCTCCAAACCAAAACCTGTGATGACCTGGGCTCACTCAGCAGGTTGAAGGCAGTGTTTAGAAATCATGCCAGCATTATTTCCTGTGACTGGACGCGATAACTCTCCATGTCACTCACACCCTAAGGCACATTGGCTGGCCCTCAAGCCCTGGAGGATAGAGTGGGGAGTATGTATTTCCATTAAAGATCCCTGAAGTGGCCGAAACCCGTTTGGTTCAGTGGATAGAGCATCGTCCTGCGAACTGAAAGGTCCCAGGTTTGATTCCGGTTAAGGGCATGTACCTTGGTTGCAGCACATCCCCCAGTGGGGAGCGTGTAAGAGGCAGCTGATCGATGTTTCTAACTCTCTATCCCTCTCCCTTTTTCTCTGTAAAAAAAAAAAAAATCAATAAGATATATTTTTTAAAAAGATCCCTGAAGTGACATCTATTACAAGTGGCAAAGAGAAGCCACTCCCACCCCAAAAGTCAGTGATCAAGAATTATTTTTTCTCACAGCATCTTCAAAGCAATGAGCACAGATGGCCGCAGCCTCCCCTATACTCAGCTCCAAGGAACAGAAAAGGCAGAAGCCTCCAGGCCACACCAGTCCCTCCAGGAATGCTGACAAGCGTAAGGCTGTCCCATCAGGCATGTGGCCTCGGGGCTCCTGTTTTCTGTGTTCCAATGGCAGGTGGTGTTGTGGGTACACTTCACCGGAAGCTCGGCTAGAAAGAAGCCTGTTTGTGATGACAGCTTTGCTCCTCCACATTTCACTGTGGAAGGACATTTCTTCTAGATCCACTTTCTTCCTCGTCTTCTAGCTCCAAACGATACTCTCGTTTTTCACCCAGGGGCTTTGTTCTCAAGGGTCATGGAAACCCACCAAGGAGAGGAGCTGGCTGGAGGGGGAAGTTGCCATTGGCTTTGAGGAGATACAGAGAAAGAATAAAACTAAAGGAAAGGGAAGATCTGGTTCCAAACCACAAGCCCTCCTCCTCCGCTTCTTACACAAAGAAGTTTTTCTTTCTGATCATTATTGTCTCTTTGGGTGTGGCTCATTGAAGGTCACCATGAGGCATGCTGATGCCCCTCTGGGCACACCGCACAGCCACAGTGAACCTGCAAAAGCTGGGCGGGCCCATGGCACCGGCTAAGGCCAATGGTATGTCACTTCCAGGCAGATAGATGACTTTAATAGACAGGGCCTGACACGCTATGTTCCCTTTCCCCTTCCAGAGTAGGCATGATTAGCCTGGATCCTTGAGAGGAGATGTGGAGCAGAGCCCCAGCTGACCCAAGTAGCTGAGTGAGAAATAGATGGTAGCCATTCAAAGGCACTAATATTTTGGAGTTATGTGTCATTGCAGTAGACACAGCCATATATAGACGTAATATAAATATAATTAAAACTTTATGCTTGTAAACACCTTCTTTTTAATGAAAGAAAAGTTCATAGTTTCAAAAAATTTGAAAAACCTCTATTTGGATACACTCTCAGTAGCTGTCAGTTGGTATTGCTAGTGTCGATAAACATCTCTGTGGCCTCTGCCTGCTGTGGGAGGGCTGTTCAGGGGGCCAGGGAAGTCATAGGCTGCAAGCATCCCTGAGTTTAGACCTGAAAAACCACCAGGGAAGCTAGCTGGCTCTTATAGGCACCTGGCTCTTGTAGCTACCTGGCTTCTGACGGTACCGAAGAGGTCCCCCAGGACCCAGTGGAGGATGCCACCCACACCCTTGGTTTCTTCTCCCCGGAGAGCCCCTTTCTCCAGGACTCTGACTTACAAATATTTCCCTGTACTTACCATGACCCTGGGATATCTTTTTATATAGAGATATATTTTTATTGATTTCAGAGGGAGGAAGGGAGAGGGAGAGAGAGAGATAAATATCAATGATGAGAGAGAATCATTGATCAGCTGCCTCCTGCACAGCCCCTACTGGGGATCAAGACTGCAACCCAGGCATGTACCCTTGCCCGGAATTGAACCTGGGATGATTCAGTCCACAAGCCGATGCTCTATCTATTGAGCCAAACCAACCAGGTCTGGGATATCTTTTGTAATTGAAAATGGGAGAAAGTGAATTATTAAAATGCCATGGAAATGTCCATATACTATTATAAGAGTGGAAATAAGTACTAAGTTTCTTAAAAGTAATTTGGCAATAGTCATTAGGGTCCTTTTTCCCCCCCAATGGAATATGTTTCCAGGAAACTAGCTCATCTAATCAGGTCTTAAAGGTTTTTGCCCTTTGCATCAGTAATTCCACCTACAGGAATCTATCCTGATATTAGCCCAGCCAGTGTGGCTTAGTGGTTGAGCCTTGACCTATGAACAAGGAGGTCATGATTCAATTCCTGGTCAGGGCACTTGTCTGGGTTGTGGGCTCAGGCCCCAGAGTGGAATGTGTAGGAAGCAGCTGATCAATGATAATCTCTTATCATTGATGTTTCTACCCCTCTCTTCCTCTCTGAAGTCAATAAAAAAATATATATATTTTTTTTACTTTTTAAAAAAATATATTTTATTGATTTTGTACAGAGAGGAAGGGAGAGAGATAGAGAGTTAGAAACATCGATGAGAGAGAGTCATCGATCAGCTGCCTCTTGCACACCCCCTACTGGGGATATGCCCGCAACCAAGGTACATGCCCTTGACTGGAATCGAACCCGGGACCCTTCAGTCCCCAAGCCGACGCTCTATCCATTGAGCCAAACCGGTTTCAAAAAAAAATATTAAAAAAAAAAAGAAAGAAATAATCAGAGGCCCTGGGTAGGTAGCTCAGTTGGTGAGAGAGTTGCCCCAATACAACAAATTTGCAGGTTTGATCCCCAATCAGAGCACATGCAAAAATCAACCAATGAATTTATAAAGAAGTGGAACAACAAATCAGTTTCTTCCTCTCTCGTCAGTAAATGAAAATAAAAAAATAATTTAAAAAGAAATCATTATAAAAGTAGATCAGGATTGATGTATAAGGATGCTCACTGCGGTGTAATTTATAATAGTGAAAACATCCTAGGTATCCCAAAACAGAAGATTAATTAAAGGAAACATCACATATTAACGAATCAGGACGTGGTCACTAAAACAGATGTTTCCAAAGAATGCTGAATGACATGAAAAATTGCTGGATGTACAAGGTTAATAAAGGTGTAAAGAAAAAGCAGGCCATAAAATGGAATATCTGATACGACCCTATTAAGCTTAAGATATGTATATATGCACAATACATTTTTAAAAGGTGGAGAAGAAACACACAGAGAAGTTGACAGTAGCTGTCTATCAATGGTGAGATCAAGGATAGGTCTGTTCTCCACAGAGAGCATGGTCTCTACCATCAGTAAAAGGCTCTGTATTAAAGAGGAAAAAGAAAGACACTCTCGGCCCCGGCTGCTCACTTCTTTTCCGCCTTTCATTTCACCCACGTGGCTCCTAAATGAAACTGACATTGAGGTGCAGCATGCTGATTAGAGTGAAACCTCCACCTTATAAACTCAAAGCATCCAGAACCTTCTGCTCCTGCAGCCCAGGGTGACATGAGTGTTCGCAGCAACTTTGCCACCACTGAGGTCGACTAAGACCTGCTTCGTCGAAAGCCTTTCTCCATCACACAGCGCTGGTTCTGACTCTCGGGCCTGACTGAAGTTGCAGGGGTATAAGGTTGGAAAGAAGTCACCAGATGGCAAATCCCAGCTCAATGAAAGAAAGACCTTTCAAAACAATGGAGCCATGATCACAGGATCAGGATCAATATCCATCAGGAAGGTCAGCAAAGAGCCTCACCTTGAAGTGGGAGGTGTCTTCCGACTCCACGAGGCTGTGTTCTGACAGGAGCGCCCCAGGAAGTAAAAAACCTTCTGACTGCCCCTGGGCACTGAGGTTTCCCATGGGCCTGCCCATAAGCACTCACAGTTCAGCCAAAAAAGAAAAAATAGGCAGGCTGCCCTCCTCCAGGGAGTGAGAGAGATAAGGACACGGAGCCAGGGGACACCAGAGGGACCTGGGACTAAGGAAGAGCATGGTCTTCTGGCCCCGGGCAGAGGAGCCCAGGGTGGCTGCCCCTGCACTCTCTGCTCACGCCCTTTCTGCTACGTGGAAGGTATCAGGGCTGCACCATCTCACAGCACACATTTGCATGGGCCAGTTCACCATGCACTCCCTGCTTTCTATTTCACTGAGTCTCACAGCGGCCCAGGATCTAGGCAGCACAGCCATTACTGTTATCAGATCATCGCAGATGGAGAAACTGAAGGTCCGAGAGACTAACTTGTCCCAGGCTATTCAGTCAGTGGTAGAGTTGAAACTCGATGGCATGGCTCAGTGGTTGAGTGCCAACCTATGAACCAAGAGGTCACGGTTCGATTCCTGGTCAGGGCACATGCCCGGGTTGTGAGCTCGATCCCCAGTGTAGGGAATACAGGAGGCAGCTGATTAATGAATCTCTCTCATCACTGATGTTTCAATCTCTCTATTCCTCTTCCTGACTTTCGAAAATCAATACAAATATGAAAAACACAAAACAAACAAACACACACACACACACACACCTCGAATCTGGGTCTCCTGATCCCACACCTTTAGGCCAAGCAGCCTCTCAGAGACCAGGGAATCTCCATTTCACCTCTGGGCCATTGTCCCCAATGCCTTTCCAAGTGGCACAAGGCACACCCAGACAATCTCCATGACCTGGGGTGGGCAGGGGAAAGTGCAGGGGACAGGCAGATCCATTCTATGGATGATTAAGTGAAGGAAGGAAAACACCTTGACAGAAGGACTCCATGAGTTCTATTCCTGATCTGGAGCAGGCAGCTGACCTGGACTGCAAGCCTGGGCCCAGCACAGTCCTCTCCCTCCAGCCTGCCCAGAGCAGCCTTCCCCTCGGGAACCAGTGGGGCCCGAGTGAGGCTCTCACATTCTGTACCCAGGGGTTCCCAGCTGATAGGCTTCCCTCCTTCAGCGTGCTATGGCTTTAAGCGAGGCCTGTGTGCAGTGGGCCCCACTGCCCTCATTTCCTGGCTAAAGACCTAGATAGAGTGTCTAAATTTTCCTGCGGCTGACTGTTGCCCCAGATTTAGCCTCTCTGATGGATAAGTCTGGCTCTCTCCCTGCCAGTGGCTGTGTCTGTCACTCCATCCCATCCCCTGGCTTCCTGAGTTACCTGTCGTTAAGTCACTGACAATCCACTGGAAGTCTCACTTCTCAAAATGTACAGAACGGCTGGGAAACCTCTACAGCAGAACCTAGAATGAGAACCTGGAGACACGGAGGCCCGCCCGCTGCTGTCACTTCGCCAGTCCTCAAACCCATGCGATCCTAACACAAAGCCTCAGCAGGTTTTGGTTTGGGAGTTTTGTTTGTTTGGATTTTTTTTTTCTTTAATTCTTACCCGAGGATATTTTTCCATTTATTTTTTTTTTAGAGAGAGTGGAAGGGAGGGAGGGGAGATAGAGAGAGAAAGAGAGAGAGAGAGAGAGAGAGAGAGAGAGAGAGAGAGAGAGAGAGAGAGAGAGAAAGAAATCTCAATGGGAGAGAGACACATTAATTTGGTTGCACCTGCCCTAAGCAGGGTAGGGGATCGAACCTGTGACCCTTCATAGCACAAGTTATGCTCTACCATTGAGCCACATTGGCCAGGGCGGATTTGGATTTTTTTTTACTATTGTTAATTGACAACATGATTCTGAAGTCCAGCTGAAAAAAATAAATGGGCAAGAATAGCTGAAAAATTTTTGGAAGAAAAATGAGGGTGAATTGTCCTATTGGATTAGTCAAGATGTAATGTAAAATTACAAAAATAAAAAATGTTCATTCACTGTTAAAAGATCTTCTTTAAGAAGAACAAAAAAAAAGAGATAAAAATATGCACAATAAAATGATAATAAATACATATGTATCAACTACTTTAAATGCAAATGAATTAAATGCTCCAACCAAAAGATGTATACTGGTAGAGGCTGAATGGATAATAAAACAAGACCCTTACATATGCTGTCTACAGGAGACTCACTTCAGATTGAAAAATATACACAGACTGAAAGTAAAGGGATGGAAAAGTATATTACATGAAAATGGAAATAAACACTTATACCAGACAAAATAGACTTTTAAGACAGAGACAAAGGAGGATCCAGCAATTCCACTTCTGGATATGTATCCAAAGAAACCCAAAACACTAACTCAAAAAGATATATATCCATATGTTCACTGCAGCGTTATTTACAAAAGCCAAGTTATGGAAGCAGCCTAAGTGTCCATCAATAGATGACTGGATAAAGAAGTGGTGTACATATACAGTGGAATATGATTCAGCCATAAAAAAGATCAAAATCTTGCCATCTGCAACAACATGGATGGACCTATAGGTTATTGTGCTGAGTGAAAAGTAAGTCAGACAGAGAAAGACAAACGCCATATAATTTCACGCATATGTGGAATCTAAAAAACAAAACAAAACAAAGCAGAATAGAAACAAACTCATACCAGTAGGTGCAGAGAACACTTCGACGGTTGCCAAATGGGAGCGTGTTATGGGGATGGGTGAAAAGGTGAAGGGATTAAGAAGTACAGATTGGGCCCTAGCCAGCTTGGCTCAGTGGATAGAGCGTCAGCCTGCGGACTGAAGGGTCCCAGGTTCAGTTCCAGCCAAGGGCACGTGCCTGGGTTGTGGGCTTGATCCCCAGTAGGGGGAGTGCAGGAGGCAGCCAATCAATGATTCTCTCACATCATTGACGTCTCTCTCTCTCCTCCCTTCCTCTCTGAAATCAATAAAGAAATATGTTGTTGTTGTTTTTAAAGAGAAGTATGAATTGGTGGTTACAGAATGATCACAGGGATATAAAGTACAGCAGAGAGAATATAGTTAATAATCTTGTAATAAGTATGTGTGGTGTTGAACGGGTACTAGATTTATTGGGGTAATCACTTAGTTATATAATGTCTAATCACTGGGTTGTACCCTGAAACTAGTGTAATACTGTATGTCAACTGTAATTGAGAAATAAAAAAATTTAAAGTTAAAAAATTTTTCATTCACTGAGTCACTCCACACATATTTATGAAGCACTCAACCTGGGCCAGGCACTGGGAATGTCTGGGGTACTGTGGGACATGACTGTACGACCTGTTTCAGAGACCAGTAAGGGGTGGCTGGGAAGGGTGAGGGGTAAGCAAGAGGCAGGTCAAGAGTCAGGCAGAGCCAGGGCTGATGGCCTGGCCCTGTGACTGGCCTGGGAGAGGACCAGAAGAAGCTTCTGGGCAGAGAGAAGTGGCCTCCCTCTGTGGGTTCTCCGGGCAAGCCACCCTGCAGCGCTGGGCCTCAGGCAATTCACGTGCAAGATGGGCCCATAATTAGTAACAACTGACTGTAATACTAACGAAAACAGATATTCACTATCACACCTTATGTGCCAAACATCATCATCATTATTTTTAATCCTCACTGAGCACAAGCTTAGAGAGGGGAAGGGAAAGAGAGAGAGGAGGAGAGAGAGGAACATTGATGTGAGAAACATTGATTGGTTGGCTTTGTACATGTCCCACTCAGGGCACAGGACGATGCTCCATCAGCCGAGCTACTCAGGCCAGACAATGTACTAAGTTTTTATATTTAACATCTCACTTCATCCTCACTACATCCCTAATAAGATCAGTTCAATTATCATCCCCATTGTTTTACTTTGTTTTTTAATATATTTTTATTGATTTCAGAGAGGAAGGGAGAGGGAGAGATAGAAACATTAATGATGAGAGAGAATAATTGATCGGCTGCCTACTACACGCCCTATTCTGGGGATCAAGCTCGAAACCTAGGCACGTTTCCTGACTGGGAATTGAACTGTGACCTCCTGGTTCATAGGTTGATGCTTAACCATTGCGCTATGCCAGCTGGACTATTATCCCCCATTGCTCATGTGAGAATAATGATGCTCAGAGAGGTTAGGTAACTGGCCCAAAGTCACACAGCTAGAAGTGATGAAGGTCCAATACACAGCCAACCTGGCTCCAGAGACCTCACTGCTAACCACTACCCTACTCTGCCTTCCGGGGGGAAGAAATGATTCCTCAGAACAAGCAAGACCCAATGATGCATGGAGATTCCAAATAAAGTGGACTTTACTGGCTCCCCACCCTGAAATGAAGCAAGGGCCTCCTTAACCCCATAAGGCTGCCTCAAGCCAATGCTTGGTCCCCTCTGGACTTGTATCATCGACATTTAGAGAATGAAGGAATCCCTGAGATCATCCAACCCAAATCACTCTTAAGGTGCCAGAAACCCCCTAATAGAGGTCACCCCAGCCTCCTGTGAATATCGTCAACGGCAAGCAGCTCATTACCTACCAACACAGCTAATAAAATTGGGATGGCTGAAACCGGTTTGGCTCAGTGGTAGAGCGTTGGTCTGCGGACTGAAAGGTCCCAAGTTCGATTCCGGTCAAGGGCATGTATCTGGGTTGCGGGCACATCCCCAGTAGGGGGTGTGCAAGAGGCAGCTGGTAGACGTTTCTAGCTCTCTATCTCTCTCCCTTCCCCTCTGTAAAAAATCAATAAAATATATTTTAAATAAATAAATAAAAATAAATAAAATTGGGGATGGCTTTTTCTCTAGGTGGTCACCTACCCCTCTACTTTCCTCTCCAGGCCTTCACCGGAAGACATACTCGTTAGTACACTGCCTGCCAAGAAGCTATGGCAGCTTCCAAGCACTGTCCTCTCACCGGCCTCCCTGCTCGGCAGGTCAGATTCTCCAGACAGTTCTCTGGGTGCACACCCCCCCCCCCCCCCGCATCACTCCTGAATGCCAGAAGCATGAGCCAGAACACCCTGGCTGTTCAGGGGTCCACGAGGGGGCAGGGGTGGGAAAGGGCGGCAATTCTAGCGGCCTCCATGGGCGCCTACCTCTCTCTGCTCCCTCTGCAGGCAGAGTTCCTCGGTCTCCTCCATCAGCTTGTCTGCCAAAGTGAGCACACACACACACTCTCAGGAAAAGCCCCCTCCAGATGCAGTCCCAAGCGGCTGATGCTTTGGCCACCTCTGTCACACACACACACACACACACACACACACACACACACACACACACACACCGGCATCTCCCAAGGAAGAGGCCAGCATAGCCGCACCAGCCTGGCCCGAGGGTGGGGCCAGCTCCTGGGGTGGGAGCTCCTGCCCTCCTTCCAGTCACTGTCCCTGCATCGTGCATCCCCAAGGGCAGTTGTGTCCTTGGAAGCTTGAGAGAGTCTCGGCACCCCCTCTGCACTAGTGTCTGCCTCGTGGGGAAGGGCGTTCCTGGGGGTTGGTGGGTGTTTGGAGCAGGCAGAAGGGAACCCCAGTGTTGGAGCCCAAGTGTCTAAGGAGGCGGCAAGGCAGAGGGTCCCAGGTGAAGGATCCAACCTCAGACTCAACTTCTTCTTTCCCAAGCAGCATGCTAACCAGCCAGTCAAGGCACAAGGGCCTGGAACCCTGTGGTCAGGTTTAAAGTGAGCTGGGGTGTGGGAGCTGGAGGCAAGCCTGGGATCCAGGGTCCAGGGCAAGGAAATTGAGGCTTAGAGAGGCTGTGCTGCCGGAAGACATACACAGCTGGTAGATAAGCGACAAAGCTGGGCGCGGAGCCCAGGCCCCAAACCACCAGGCTCTCCTGCCCCCTGTCATGCTGGCCAACAGGATATTGATTAGTAAGCTCTCCAGGCTCCAAGCTGGTGTCTGGCTCCTCGGAGCCTGCAAAGTCCCACTCAAGACTCCCCCCGGGACCTCCTACAGCCCCTGGCCCTGAAGCGCTGCCATCAGGGAGTGTCAGCCCAGCCCGTCCCTCCAGCCAACCTAGATACTCCTGCTTCTCCTTGGCCAACTGCAGCCCCTGGGCCTCCAGGCTCTTGATCATGGCCTCTCCCAGCTGGGCATTCTTCCAAGTCCTGGGGAGGGAGGGCAGATGGGACAGAGGAGAGAAGAGGAAGAAACACAAAATTGTGAAAATGGAAAGGTAGAGAAGAAAGAGAATGTGCGTGTTTTGTCCTTGCCCGTCCCTCCTCCCCAGAATCCCAGCTCTCATCCACCCTGGCTCCCCGGGCTCTGGGCATGCCACCAGCCTGGATCGGTTTCAGTCCCTGGAGGCTGGCCCAGGCTGCAAAGTGGGCCACCGTGGGCCGGGACAGCAGCACTTTGGGAGCAAAGAAGAGATTGCTTCCCGGCTGCTCTCTACAGCACTGAAGGCCCACAGCCCAGCGCGGGGCCTGGCGCGGGGCACGCACTCAGTGTTATTGGTTGAACTGAAAGCATGACCCAGCTCGAACAGGCAGGTGCCAGGACCAGGGTTTACGTGCGAATGGACTGTGTTGGGCTGGAGGTTTCTGTGATGTGGACCCCGATTTGCAAAGCTCTGTCTGTGCTAGGATTCATGGTGGGCCTGGGGAGCTGAGCGGGGGTTGGGAGGCAGCCAAGTCCTACGAGTGACGCTGGATTCGCTCTGAGAATGGGAGACAAATGGAGTCCACGTCTGCCACCTGTGACCCTAGGCAAGCAAAGCTCCCTTTGCTCAAAGCTCACTTAGGAGACCCCCACAGATGCTCTCGCCCACCCTAACCAACTCCCACAGCCCTGTTCTCAAGGAGGCCCAGACCTTTTCCTCCCCACCCTGCCCTCTCCTGGGGCCCCCAGTGCCTGCCGGGACACCAGCAGAAAAAGAGAGAGAGCAGGGTCAGTCCAGCCCATCTCCTCCCTTCCCCTTCCTGATCTCAGGCTGCCCTCCTGCGGGGAGCACTTACACCTTCCCCGACTCCTGCAGCATCTCCAGCCACTGCGCCTGCTCAAACTCAGACTCCGCTGCCAGCAAGATGTTCCCCTGCCAGGAAGAGGGGCCACGGTGCACCTGAGAGAAGGCCGCTCTGAGGACACGGAGGCCGCCCCAGGCCTTTGTAGGCCCGGGGCTGCTCCCTGCACCCCGCAATCCTATGGCACTGACACCACCACCATCACCACCACCACCACCACCACCCCCCCTCCACCAGGCCAGGCCAATGAAGGGGTGGCCCCCAGGCACCTGAGGATCCCAGAGAAGCTGCTCTGTCCCGGCTGAGCCCAGGCTGAAATGAGAGCTTTACTCACATGGAAGTCCTGGTGGGAGATTTTCATGGCATAGGGCATGCTGGGCTCCTCCTTGGCCTCCACCAGGCAGCCCCCCAGGGGGATGACACCCTGAGAAAGAACCGGAACAGGCAGCTCTCACTCACCCAGCCCAGGTCAGGTCACTCCAGGCCTGTGGGAGCCCTTAGCCAAAGCCAGGACCTGCTGAGGGCCCAGGCTGGGAGCCAGACGAGGACTCTTCCAAAAGGAGAGGCAGGGCAGGGCAGGCTCCTGGGCATAGGAGGTTGGGGGGATCTTGTGCCCCAAGAAGGATTTGTTCTTCAGACTCTGTTAGATCACAGTCCTCCACCCTCCCTCCATGTTCCCTGGGCCCTCCCCGCTGTGGCCCCGGGGAGAGGCCCCTCACCTTAGGATGTATATTGAAGTGTCTATTGGTTTCAAAGCTCTTTTTCTCACTTTCCGAGTAGTAAAGAAGGAAGCTCTCTTTGATGATGAAAAACCTACAGCAGGTGGTGGAGAAAGAGGGACAACCGGGAGAGAAGGGTGAGGTTTCCTGGGACAACAAGAGCGTCTTTGGGGGCCCCACACTCACATGGGGAGCCCAGGGGGCTACCACGGCTCAACCTCGCCAACTCGGTTCCACATCTGGGCAGAGGCCTCGGCTGGCCAGCTGCCTGCTGCCCCAGGCAGCCCGAGCCTCACACCAGCGGGCAGCTGAAGTGAGAGGCCCTCAGGGCTGGCTCCTCCATCCCTCCTGAGCCGCCACCCTCAGCACCGGAGGGCACCTGTGGTGCTTCCTCATGGGTACCCTCAGCCTCTGGAGCCATTGTCTCAAGTCCCTTAGGGTCCGTCCTAGGAGGGGCAGAAAAAAGGTGGGGGGGAGGGTGGGAGAAAGAAGACACAAGATTCCAAGACGGATCTTTTGACAAGTGATCATGAAGGCTGGGGATCAAATGACTGTGGGAACCAAGCTCTGGGGCCAGGCCTGCAGCCCGCACGTCACCTATGCGCTGGGACCCTTCGCTCCACATCCTCCTTCTGGGACTCGGGTCTAACGTAGGGTCTCTGGGCCCCTGGTGCTTTCTGATTGTTGGGGAGACGACAGCCTGGATGCCCATATCTGGAGCTCTTGCACCCACCCGGGGACCCCTGTAGGACTAATGATTGGAGCTGACTAAGATAAGATGATCCCCCTGAGCCTTAAAGCCCCAGGGCTCAGGGACACCCAGGGTGGCTGGCCCCTTCCCCCCAGGGTCCCTGCTGACGCCACGGGTGACGTGATGGGCCTGGGAGAGCTGGGAGCAGTGGTCAGCTGGAGCATGCTCAGATGGGCTCACACCAGCCAGCAGTGTGACTCTCCTCTGCTCTGAGTTCAGTGACGTTGTGTTGGTAACTTGATACCAGTCACCGTGGGCCTGTTTACACCAGGAAAATCATCCGACGCTACAAAGCACTGTTTCGCCCCACGAGAGCCCGCTGCTAACTACTGACCAGCACTCCTCTTGTGAGGAGCTCAGAAAGGTGCTGGTGGGCATGATGAGGTCAGCGAATCTCTGAAGATCCCCTCCAGCCCTGGGATCTTTCTGAGATCCGACAGCTGCCACCTCGCCTCCCCAGGGAAAGCGAAGCACACTTTGTCCTCTGGTGTGTCTCACGCCCAACCCTGTTCTCCATTTGCACTGACCCTCCCGGCCCAGCCAGACACCACATGGAGCTGTGGACCTCAGGGGTCACCTTTTTCCCCCTTAGTGGGGAAAGAGCTCGTGAATACCACCCTCTGCAGGATGGCGAGAACATTCTGGGGCCTCTAGCACCTGACCCTTGTCCATTCTCAGCTTCCCCCAACCCCCACCCCCCACTTCTGCCCTTCAGCCTCTCCGCTCAGCCAGACACTGAGCTCACGGCTTCCCACCTCACTATGTCCTGCAGGATCCTGCAAAGACCAAGCACTTCTCCCTGGAGTGCCCTCCCTCTCGCTCTTGATCTGGCTGAACCCCTCGCCCCGGTGGCCAGCCCAGCCCGCCCTGCCCTCTGAGCTCCTTCTGCACTTGCTGATTGGGCTGCACACTGGCACTTCGAGCCCCTGCCACACCCTGTGTGCCCATCTTGTCCCGAGGACCATGTTGGGCTCCTGGAGGGCAGGCTATGCCCCTCAGTCCTGTGAGCTGACAGATATTTCTGGGGACCGTCACAGTCATTAAGAACACAGGTTTGGCATCACACAGAATTGCCGATTCCCAGCGGGGGGAGGGGAGGGTGGCCTAGGCAAGTAAGTTCACCCTCTGAGCTTCAGTTTATTTGCCTGTAGAATGGGGGGCGCGGAGGGGGCGCAATAACACCAACCTCATCTGATCAGTGTGAGGCTCAAATGAGATTGTGCTTATCACTCCACCAACCTGCAGAGGCTCTAGACAGGGCTGAGTGGCTCAGTGGATAGAGCCTAGGCCCAGGCCTAAAGGTCCTGGGTTTGATCCAGGTCAAGGGCATGTACCTGGGCTGTATGCTCGATCCTCAGCCCTGGTCTGGGGCACATGTCAGAGGCAACCAATCAATGCTTCTCTCTTTCTGTCTCTCTAACAATCAATGGAAACGTATCGGGTGAGGATTAACAAAAAAATTAAATAAAGAAGAGGAAGCATTCTGTCTTTCTCTGTCACATGAAGACACAGTGTGAAGGCAGATGTCTGCAACCAGGAAGCGGATCCCTACCAGAGCCTGACTTGGCTGGTCCAGACTTCCAGCCTCCAGAACAGCGAGGAAATGCATTTCTGTGGTTTCACTGAACAGTTTAACAGATGCTGACGTCTATGGTATTTTGTTATGAATACAAATACCTTCTTGCTTTCCCGACTTCCTCCCCACTCAGAGCAGAGCACTGTGCCAGGGACTTGGGTTGGGGGTGGCAGGCAGACGATCACTAGGCACATGGGCAGAGAGAGAGAACAAGGGCTCCGGAGTCCAATGATCTCTTTCCCTACAGCCGTGGCTTCAGGCAAGCTCCCAGGCTGGCTGAGCCATCCTTTCCCAGCTCCTCTATAAAATGGGGGTGCAAATCTCTGTCTCATGGGGCTGCTGGGAAGAGTCACTCATTGATTTAACGAATGGGCCCTGCGGAGTTGGGCTGGCTGTGCAAGCGCTGGAGATAGTCACCGTAGATTTAGGTGTTCTGTGCCGGCTGCCTGCAAAGTGCTCTATAAGGATCAGACTATTTGATCTATGTAACTCTCTTGGGAGGTAGGGCTTTTTGTTCCCATTTTACAGAGGAGAAAACTGAGGCTTAGAGGTTAAGGATTGTGTGCAAGGTCATACAGCTAGGGCAGAGATGGAGCTGAGAGTGGGACCCACGGCAAGAGTCCCCCACTCCTGCTCCGCACATCACAGCCTGCCTCCTCCCTCATGTGGGCACCTGGGCAAGAAACAGGTGGACCAGAGGCGGTCGGTACCAAAGCTGGGGTAGTCAGGACCAGAGCTCTGCCACTTATGTGGCCAGGGGAAGTCACCTCATCTCCCTGGGCCTCAGGTCCCTCAGTGTCATTGGAGGATGACAACAGTACCTAATGCTCTTAGGATTGTCCAAATAATTAAAGGAGCTTGTTCACATAAAGTCTCAGAACACTGCGTGACGTATGGTAAATATTCAATACCTCTGACTTTTATCAGGACTATTATTGTCCATTATTACTAGGCTCAGTGTCTGCGGCAGCATCCCCTGACCTTTCTCATTTGAGCGCACACAGTTCTTACCGGCGGGAGCTCTTGGCTCCAGCCCCGCTGGCCAGCTTCCTGTCCCCAAACACACGGCACTTTGCCTGCCCAACTCCAGGCCTGGGCAAGGCTCTGTCTGAGCTCCAGCCCTTAGGACCCTCCTTGTCTGCCCCATGGGGCTGTGGTGAAGGGTGGAGAGTGTGAGGGAGGTAAGGGGTCCGTGTCAACATTGGCTACCTCCTTTCTCTAGTCTTTTTTTTTTAAATATATTTTATTGATTTTTTACAGAGAGGAAGAGAGAGGGATAGAGAGTTAGAAACATCAATGAGAGAGAATTATCGATCAGCTGCCTCCTGCACACCCCCCACTGGGGATGTGCCTGCAACCAAGGTACATGCCCTTGACCGGAATCAAACCTGGGACCCTTTAGTTTATAGACCGACGCTCTATCACTGAGCCAAACCGGTTTCGGCTCTCTCTAGTCTTAAAAAATAGTATTTTCACCTCTAGATTAAGGAGCGTTTACAGGTGCCAAGACACACACTTTGCTAAGTGCTTTATTGACATTACCTTATGTAAATCTCTCACAATAACTCCGAAGATGGAGATACTTGTTTTCAAGTTTTACTGATGAGGAAACAGAGAGGCACAGAGAGATTAAGCAAAAGTAAGCAGCAAACTGGGAACTTGGTCTGCTGACAAACCCAGGTTCCCTGTGTTGTGCTCGGTGATGCCTGGTCCTCCTCATCCCCTGGCACTGCTGTGACTTCTGGTCAGAGAGCATGAAGGAACCACATGGGACAGCCAGGTGCTATGCTAGGCCCTAGGGCTTGAGGATTCCCTGCCCTTGAGGAGCTTATGTTCAAGTGAGGGAGAGAGAGAGAGAATAGAAATCAACAATCTAAAAAGTAACTGATGTTTATTGAACTCTTTCTTTGTGCCAGGCCCTGTTCTAGTAGCATCACTATGCATGTTAACTCATTCATTCTTCACGTGGTCTGGGAGAGGTAATGAGCACAGAGAAGTTAAGTAATATGCTCCACATCACACAGCTGGTAAGTGGGGAGCTGGGGCAATTTAAATGTTTACTGCAAGAGTGTAAAGAACTAGGATACCCAAAGGTACTGGAAAACACCAAGTACCTGGTGGCATTATAAAAGCACCAAGACAGCCCTAACTGGTTTGGCTCAGTGGGTAAAGCGTTGGCCTGCGGACTCAAGGGACTCAGGTTCGATTCTGGTCAAGGGCATGTACCTTGGTTGTGGGCACATGCCCAGTAGGGGGTGTGCAGGAGGCAGCTGATGAATGTTTCTCTCTCATCAATGTTTCTCACTCTCCCTCTCCCTTCCTTTCTGTAAAAAAATCAATAAAATATATCACCGAAACCGGTTTGGCTCAGTGGTAGAGCGTCGGTCTGTGGACTGAAGGGTCCCAGGTTCGATTCCGGTCAAAGGCATGTACCTTGGTTACGGGCACATCCCCGGTAGGGAGTGTGCAAGAAGCGGCTGGTCAATGTTTCTCTTTCATCGAGTTTCTAGCTCTCTATCTCTCTCCCTTCCTCTCTGTAAAAAAATCAATAATATATATATTTTTAAATCAATGAAATATATATATATATATATATATATATATATATATATATATATATATATATATATAATTTTTTTTAAAGCACCAAGACAGTGACACATACCCTGAGACACTATGTTTGGATGAGATACAGGAAAAATGCAGATCAGGAGGAATGAATGGTTTAGGTGTCTGGCCAAGGGAATTCTGAGAGGAGGGTTTTGAAGAATGAGTAGGAGTATCTTGGGAGTAAGTGGGAGGGGAAGATGCGTTCCAGGCAGAAGGAACAGAATGGGTGGAGTGTCTGGGGTTGCAGCCACCGGCCCCATGGTTCCCTGGCACTTAGTGAATACTGTGAATCAGCTCTCTGAGGCAGAGACCTACCAATGCCCCACAAGAGCGAGCAGCTGCTGGGCTGAACGCAGGACCCGCTGGGGGAAGGAGAGACAAGGAATGCCGATGAGTTCACCTGTGTGCTGGACCGGCCCTCCATGGGGTTGACCCTCCAGTCCTTTCCTCCTTGCCTATGAGCTGCCAAGGTTTTTGCCAATAGCAGAGTAAGTGGGAGGTCAGCCATCAACCTTACCCTCTAAACACCTTTCCCTGATTCTCTATCTCTGCAAAGTAATATATTTTTTTATTAAGGTATTACATATGTACATATCTTACCATTGCCCCCCCACCCCCATACATGTCCTCACCCCCAGAGTTTTGTGACCATTGGTTATGCTTATATGCATGCATACAAGTCCTTCAGTTGATCTCTTATCTCCCCCATATCTCCCTAACCTTCCCGCTGTAATTTGACAGTCTGTTTGTTGCTTTACTATCTCTGTATCTATCTTTTTGTTCATCAGTTTATAATGTTCTTTATTATCCATAAATGAGATCATGCAGTGCTTTTCGTTCATTGACTGGCTTATTTTGCTCAGCAGAGAAGGAATGTTTTTGATTCCTTTCTCCTCTTGATGCCCAAGGGAAGAAAGCTGGCCCTTAGCTCAAGGGCACCCTCCCAGCCCAGAAAGGGAAGGGCTGCTTCAGTGGCAGGGACTGGAATTCCTGAGACAGACCTCAGCGGAAGAGATTTTATGAAACCCAGCTGGTCACAGCTGGCTCCATCCTGCCCATCCCTTATTTATGGAGCTCAGGAGCCTTTCCAGGCCCCCTCCCCTCAGTGGCCCAGCGAGGGCATCGATCGCCCTAATGGCACAGCTCTGCGGTGAGGGCCTGAGCTGCCCCCTCCCCAAGCCTTCCTGTGGCCGCTAATTAGCTGAGGTCTAGAGACTCCATTTCACAAATGGGGACCTGGGGCCCAGGGGGTTCTGCTGGGAAGTGAGGGGTCTAAGCATGGCATCATGCTTCTCCCACCCCAGACTCTCTCTGGTTGGCTCTGTTGCTGACCCAAGGCTCCTAAACCATGTGTGTGTGTGCATTTCCACAACTGTGACCATGGACACAGGCCAGAGTGGGCAGAAGGGATGTGAGTTCTTTCCTGAGCCCCAGAGGAAGGGGAGTCTGCACAGTGGAAGCTCTAGAATTCGTAGGCCAGATGGTTTTTGAGTGGCTGTGGGATGCTGAGGGAAATTCTTGGGGTGGGGGGTGCTACAGCTCTCCAAGCCTTCCCTGGCTTCACTACTGTGCTTTTAGCCAGGAACCTTGTCGCTGACACCGCCCAGCCCTGGAATCAACTCTGGGGCAGGAGCCAGGCACCCACACCGTGGGTGAAGAGGGGTCAGGGACACACCCTGAGGGTCCTCACATTTCCTAGGGATGAAATCAGGTGAAAATGCCTGGCAGGAGAAGTCTTGGATGACAAAGACCAAGAAGCAGTACCAAGGACAACAGCCAGACCCACAGGAGGAGCGCTGGCCTCCTGGAGCCACAGAGGCAGGAGAGAGAGGGCGGGGAGGCGGGCTGCTGATGGAATCTGAACCTACAAGTACCTTTCTGCCCCCACTGGAGAGTCCTGGTAGACACAGGGTGCTCCTGACCTGACCCCATGGGACCTACAGCTCAGATAGCACAATGCGGGCAGCCCCTCCCAAGATGCTCCCCAGGCTGCCCCAGGCCTCCAATCAGGGGATCAAAGAGAAACTTAACTTCGCAGGAACTCAAGGAGCCTATATCCCACTAAATCCCAGAGAGAAGCCTGGCGGGGCTAATAAAAGCTTGTGTGTGTGTGTGTGTGTGTGTGTGTGTGTGTGTGTGTGTGAAATCAGCCACGTTAAATGGGTAAATGGAGAAATACCACCCACAGCTCCATTTGTTCTGAGGTCTTGTAGAAATATTAAATTATTCATCAAAATAGAACATCAGAACCACCACAACCACATCCCCGTGACCGGCAGTCCCGGGGACATTAGCTCAGGGTGTGGGATGGGAAAGAGCATCTGGACACGCGCCTCGGCTCCTGGCAGGGTCACAGCTCCAGGGAGCCGGGGCAGGGTAGATCTATAAGCCACTGCAGTACCGAATCTCAGATCTGAGGTCGCCTTGAGGGGGAAACTGTCCAGAAGATCCACTGCTCCCAGCCAAGGTAGGGGGCTCCCTGCAAGTTCAGGGCTGTGAGCTCCCCTCCCTTCAATCCCTTTCAGGCCCCTTCCTAAGTGGAAAGCGGCTACTGTGTCTGGGGGGTGGCCTCTGAGCTGGGGACCAGGAAGCTAGTGCCCAAAGACTAAGGCTGCTCTGACCCTCACCCACCTTCCAAAGGATGGAACCATCCATCGCTCCCCCACACCACCTCAGTCTCAACTTGATCCTCCCCTCGGCTTAGTCTCTCCTTCAGTTCCAGCTTCTCTGCCTGAAGTGCTGAAATCTCTCTCTCTCTCTCTCTCTCTCTCTCTCTCTCTCTCTCTCTCTCTCTCTCTTCTTCCTCTTTCTCTCTCTCTCTCTCTCTCTCTTTCTCGTTATCCTCATCTGAGAATATCTCCCCCCAGTGATTTTTTGAGAGAGTGGAAGCGGGGAGGGGAGGAGACAGAGGAAAAAGAGAGAGAAACATCCATGTGAGAGAGACCCATGGATTGGTTGCCTTCCACAAGGAGCCCCAACCAGGCCAGGGATGAACCTACAACCTAGGTACCTGCCCTTGACTGGAATCAAACCCCGGACGAACCCCCGACGCTCTAACCACTGAGAAACACCTGCCAGGGCTGGGATCTCTTTTCCCACGGTCCAGGTTTTACTTTAAAAGAAAAAAAAAAAAAATCATTTCAGTCCTAGCCGGTTTGGCTCAGTGGATAGAGCGTGGGCCTGCGAACTGAAAGGTCCCAGGTTCCATTAGGTCAAGGGCACATGCCCGGGTTGTGGGCTCCATCCCCAGTTGGGAACTTGCAGGAGGCAGCCGATCCATGATTCTCTCTCATCATGAATGTTTCTATCTCTCTCTCTCCCTTCCTCTCGAAAATCAATAAAAATTATTTTTAAAAATTATTTCAGTGTCTAGTTGGAGGGGTTGCCAACATCCGCTCATCTAGGCTGGGCACAGATCCTCCCGGCCCTTCCGCTCTCCCTGCCTGAGTCTTCCAGAAGCGCCCTCAGTGTGCCGGGGTAGGGGGTAGGAGAGGGTGCGAGGTCCGACACCCAGCGGCCCTCCAAGCCGGCTCTGCGGCCGGGGGAGGGTGCTGTGCGGGGGAGGGTGCTGTGCGGGGGGGGGGTGCTGTGCGGGGGAGGGTGCTGTGCGGGGGAGGGTGCTGTGCGGCTGAGGGAGGGGTGCTGTACAGGCGGCGGAATGGGCCGTGGGGCCCCAGGAGGCTGCCTTTGTCTGGAGACGGAGCTACCCCTCCCGCAGCAGCCTGGCCCAACCGGACCGGCCCGCTCTTACCGCGGCCGCGAACTCTTCCAGCCCACACCCACCCTCCGCACCCAGCCTGAACCCCTTCCACAGAGCACCCTCCCCCCCGCGCCGCCCAGGCCGGCGGTGCCACCCAGCTCCCCCAGCCCCGGGGGCAGGGATGAGAACCCACACAGTCTGGGACCCACGACTTCCAGGCACCCAGCTTGCAGAGGAAGGGGGCGAGGCCAAGGTCACAGAGGAAGGGAGAGGCAGCGCGGTAGGGGAGGGAATGGGAGGGGGTCCTGAGGCCCCGGGCCCCTCCCCGGCGGCGCCCAGGGGCGCGGGCGGCGCACTCACCGGCGGGACCACTTGGCGGACGGCCGCCCGAAGGGCCGCTTCCACAGCACGCCGTACAGCTGCACTTTGGTGCTGATGTCTAGCGCGTCCGGGTCCGCCTGCTCCAGGGACGGCGAGGGCGACACCGAGTTGGACTTGGACGTGAACATCCTGCCTCAGAGGGGCTGCCCGCGGCCCGGCCCGGCCCACGCACTCCCCGGGCCGGCAGGGACGCTGGGCTCCGGGCGAGGGCGGCGGGCGGCAGGGGGCGGCGGCGGCGGCAGGCCGCTCCGGGCGCCGTCGGGGCGCGTCTCAGGCAGCGGAGCCCCGGAGCCGCCGGGTGGGAGCTGCCGCATTAAGGCGCGCGGGCCCGGAGCGCAGCGCCGAGGGGGCCCGGGGCGCGGGGCGCGCAGCCAGCGACCTGGGCTCCGGGTGGGGCGGGCCCGACGGGAGCTCGGCGGGAAGAGCGGCTCAGCATCCAGCCGGCAGCATCAGCTCCCCCCACAGCCCCCCCTCACCGCGTACCCCCCCCCCCCAAGACAGCCCCGATTCCGGCGGCCCCGATTGGCTGGGCGGGGCAGGTGCGCGAGCCGGGGCCGCCGCGGGCGCCAATCAGCGCGGGCGCCGGCGGGAAGGCCGGGCTCCGAGCGTCCGCTCCGGAAGGTCCCGGCGGGTCGCTCGGCCGGGGGAGCGGTCACGGCGCTTCCCCACCCCCGCCTCTCGCGCGGATCTCTCCCCCGGGCGGCGGCCTTCTTGCGCGCACCGGCGGCCTTCTTGCGCGCACCGCCTACATCGGCACTGGGAACACGTCTGCTTCGGGATGGGCTTGGAGTCGCAGGTCCCCTACGCGCCGCTGGGCGAGGGGGAGTGAGCAGCGAGGATTTGGGGTCAGACAGCCGGGCTCGGGATCCTCACTCTGTCCTTGCGTAGCTCTCCGGGAAGCTGCGGACAGCTTTGATTTTCCCACTGAGAAGCGCAGATGCCTGTACCTCCCCAGGCAGAGCGGTGGCCCAGAAAGACTTAGGTAACTGTCCGAAGCGCCGGCTCCAGAGGGGGCTCCGTCCCGGCCGGCGGCCGCTCCCTGCCCTCCCCGCCCCTTCAGGTGGGTTTCGCTTTGCACCGCAGCGGCCTCGTCTGGACCAGATTTTTTTCCCCCGGAGCGAGGCGTCGGCGTTTGGCCGTAGGGCCAAGAGCCCGAAGTGCGGGCGCAGTGGGTGGCCGTGATTTATCTGCGCACCTGGCCGGTGCTCCCCGGGGCCCGGCGCCGCAGCCACTTCCGCTCCTCGGCGCCGCTTCAGGTGACCGTCTCACTTTCAGGCTGGGGCGGAGACCTGTCCCAGCCCTGGGGACGGCCCGCCGGAAGGCTGTGTTCGCACCGCCGCCTGCTGGCACCGCTCCAGAGGCAAAGGCGTGAGCGTGCGCAGGAACAGGCTGCAGGCTAGACCTCGCCGTAGTCATCCTTCTCGGGCTGACCGGCTGCAGGCCATTTCAGGGCAGCCAGGAAGGGGTCAGTCACCTGCGCCCTCGAGAAAGCCACTTTCCCCTTGGCTCTGTGATTCATCGTATTTTAAAGAAGTCCGAACAAGAGTTTGCAGAAGTAGTCTGAGAGCCAAGTCAGCTTCTAGATAGACTTAAACTTGATCAACTTTAAAGATGAGGTATAATTACTATATGATAAAATGCACAGATCTTAAGAATTTATTTGATGAAGCTTATCTGATGAATGTATGTACTGAGGAACAACCACCCAAAGCAAGATCCAAAACATTTTTATCACTCTAGAAAGTTCCTCCGTGCTGCTCCTGTCTAGTCAACTCGATTATTCCCCACTCCCTTCCAGACAATCACTTTCTAATTCTTAACATTTGCACACTTCCTCTCCCCCCCCCCCCCAATTAACAACTTTAATGTCGCCCTAGCTGGTTTGGCCCAGTGGATAGAGCATTAGCCTGTGGACTGAAGGGTCTTGGGTTCGATTCCAGCCTAGGGCACATGCCTGGGTTGCAGGCTGGATCCCCAGTAGGGGACATGCAGGAGGCGGCAGACCACTGATTCTCTCTCATCACTGATGTTTCTCTCTCTCCTCCCTTCCTTTCTGAAATCAATAAAGAAATATATTTTTAAAAAATCTTTTTAATGTCTAAAATGGCATCTTCCGCAGAGCCACCATCAGACTGCTTCTCGCATTTATTGCCTGCCTGGCTCCTTGTAGGCATCTGACTTTGTACCCTCACTAGATGCTTTCCTAGGTGTTACATTTTATGAGTTGAGTTAGGAAGGCTCCATACCCTGACACCTTCCTCTAACCAACCCTGGGCTTCCCAAGCCTAGGCAGCATCCCTTTACTGCTCACTGTCCAAAGGGCCTCATCTGAACTCGCTGGGTCCTTGGAGGAAATTACAGGCCACGCCTTAACGCAAGGCCCAGGGTCTGGGCTCAATGATTGGAGACAGGACTAGGAACTGATGAGAGCCTATGGATAGAGTGGAAAGCAGACATTTCACATGTCTTTGGCTATTTTTGACATGTTCTAATGCTTGGAAAATTTTCCACTTTAGGAGTCCTGCTTTTTTCCAGAAGGAAGCTAGAATACTTGTGTTGGAAGCCCGTGGTATGGAGATCAGGAGCTCCAGGACTGAACCAACTCAGTTTAAAGTTGCAGGTGACAAACATGAGGAAAAACCATGCCCAGGCAAACGTTTTCTCAGGGGAAGGCAGTACTAAAGGCATCTGACTTGCTTTGGGGGCCAGCTGTGGCTACAAGGTTGTGTTCCCAAATGCAGCAAGCAGCATGTGCATTGACTGCAGTAGCAGCCCCCAGTAGGTGGGCTCCTGGCTGCACACAAATGGCAGCTCTAGTGCTCTGTGATGGCAGTGGCATGGTTTTGGGTAGCATTCCTGGAAGCTTCCCCTTTGGTCAGGCACCTGGTTCTCTAGCCCTGCCAATAGCCTATATAATAAAGAGGTGATATGCAAATTAACCCTCACACCCTCACAAGATGGCTGCCTATGACTAGGCCAGCAGAAGGGTTAGTGAGGGACAACCAAGTGACAGAACAGCAAGCTGTGGGGCAATCAGGTCGGCGGGTGGGCCCTGAGGGGCCACCAGCTAGCAGGGGGCAACCAGGCTGGTGGGGGTATGTGTGCAGTTGGAGGCAATCAGGCCAGTGTGTGTGGGGGGGAGGGCATAGTTGTGGGCAACCAGGTCAGCAGAGGGGTCAATTAGGGATGACTAGGCTGGCAGAGGGGGGCAGTTGGGGGCGACCTGGCCAGCAAGGGGGGCTGTTAGGGTGACCAGGCAGGCAGGCAGGTGAGCAATTAGGAGCCTGTGGTCCAAGATTGTGAGAGGGATCCGGATTGGAGAGGGTTCAGGCTGGGCTGAGAGGACACCCCCGCCCCCCATGCATGAATTTCATGCATTGGGCCTCTAGTCCTTTTAATAAATTAATTCCTTTTTTGCTTAATCAGGTCAATGCCAGCTTTGCTGCTTGGGATGTAGGACTAGGGATCAGCTCATGAGCCATAGATGGGAGAAAGGTAGGATACCGGGAAAAATCATTTCCCAAGCAGAAGTGAGCCCAGATGGTTCCTGTAAAAGATTCAGTGTCTTCGATAGAGAGGAAATAGAGCACAAGTTTCTTCAGTGGCAAAGAGAAACCAAGCTTGCCCATCTCCACTGCATACAGAAGAATATCTGAACTGACCTTAACTAATGGCAGGTAAGGCTGGTGGGAAGACTGCTCTGAGGCAGACAGCATGGGTGTGAAGGAACACTAGATACTTAAGTGGTTTCTGCTTTGCTCAACTAATCAACCCGGGATACCAACACAGGCCTGCGAGACACTGCCTCTGCTTCCATGTGCTCTCTGGCCAAGCTGGTGGGAGTGCCAAATGCCTGGCATAGTTCTGAAGACAAAACAAGCTGGGTGCCAATCCAGTGTCTCAGACCAAGTGTGGGCCAGGGCTGCCTTATCTTATTGGGAATTAGATGAGACCAGTCAGGGATGAAAACTCGGGGTCCTGAGAGCCCTACAGGCTCAGACACAGAGCTGATGTTGTATATATTATTTACATCTTGTTTATTGAGATATGTATTACTTTTACTTTTTCCAGATGGGAGAAATGAAGTTCAAAAAGGTTGTCAGGTCACCACTCAGCTCGTCATTTTCTGGAACATGACAGGCCCTCAAGTGTGTTGAATGAGGGAAAGTGGCAGGATCAAGATAGTTACTTGATTTGGTCTGAATCCTAAACCCATGCCCATCAAGCTGCATCATAGTGCCATGTGAAGAGCAGTCTAGGAAAATGCTAGACCTCTTTCTGACTTTCCCTTCTTTTCTAGTAATTTCTCTCACCTAAGATTCAAAGTTTCTGCAGAACTGAAGATGCAATTCTATTTGCACCATGACATTCCAGCCTCTCAGCTACTTAAGGATAGACTCCTAATAATGAGCACACATTTCCTTTTTCTTAGTCTTTATTTCCCCCAACTTTATTAAGGTATGATTGAAAATAAAAATTGTATATATTTAGGTTGTACAATATGATTTTTAAAAGGTATATGTGATGATTTAATATACATTGGGAAATGCTTACCACAATCAAACAGTTAACACATCCTCATTACTTATTTTTGGTGCGTGTTGAGGACACTTAAGATGTATTCTCTTAGCAAATTTCAGGTATACAATACAGTATTAACTGCACATTAGATCTACAGAACTTATAACTGCAAGTTTGTACCCTTTGACCAATATCCCCTTATCATCTCTCCACCCCAGCCCCTCACAACCACCTTTCTACTCTCTGGTTTTGAGTTTGATTTTTTTAGATTCCACGTGTGACATCATATAGTATTTGACTTGCTGTCTGACTTTTTTCACTTAGCTTGTGTTTATGTACTCTCCAGATTGAGCTCCTTGAGGAGAGTGTCCAGGGCATGTAGTAGATGCTCAACAAATGCTTAACCAAACTGTCTTCACTGGGCCCTGTTCAGGTGCTGCAGTTTCTTGTTTCAGTTTGAAAACCCATGGAGACTGCCCTCTCAGGCCCTCACTTCCCTCATCGATAAAACAGAATCTGTGAGGTGGCTGCGAACTTACGTGAAGGCAATCTTTAGATGGCTGACTTGTCACTGCTTTTCATGTTACGATGGATTTAAGTCCAGGCT